GAGGACCTGTTAGGAGCTAAGCACCATTCATAGGGCATAAAATGGATACAATATCTGCTTTCATGGGGCTTACATTCTAGCAGAAGGGTCAGGTGTTAAACAAACATACAATTACATTCTTACAAACTATAACAAGTAAAAGAATAGTGTCTCATTCAAGAGAACAGAAGAACCTTAATTTAAACTGTGAAATCCAGGTGGCCTCTGAGGAAGTGGTGGTTCAGGCCTGAATAAGAAGTAGGAATGTGCTAGAAAAGGGTGGGCAAGGAAAGCATTTCAGACAGAGAGCAGCACAAGGAAAAGTCCTGAATTGGGATAAAGAAGCTATTTTGTTTGTTTGTGTTTTTTTTTTTTTTTTCAAAAGTGGAAGGAGGCTGACATGGCTTAAGAACAGAAAATTCAGAGACCAGGATGAGGCCTTCACATTTCCTACCTTTTACAATGAAAAGTCAGTAAAAGAGTTTAAGCAGGAAAGTGATAACATTTACATTTTGAAACTATCACTTGGCCACTGTGTGGGGAAGAGACTGGAGGAAGGGCAAGAATGAAGGTGGGAAGTTTGGCTGGAAATCCTCTGTTGGAGCAGGTGATAGCTGACGGTGACCTCCCTGTGAGGACAGGAATGGACACAGAGTGGTGGCTGGATTACAGAGCTATCCCAGAGACGGGATACCTCAAACCCCAGCAGGGTTTGATGATGGACTGGACGTGTGGGAAAATATCTAGGATGACACACAGATGGTTCAGCCTGAGCCCCTCAGGGGCTGGAGGTGTTCTTTACCAAGATGGGGCAAGACCGGTGGAGTTGCAGATTTGGGGAGGGAGCTATAGTGGCAGTCAAGAGTTCCAGTTTGGGTACATTAAGCTTGAGATGTCTCTGAGACAGCCAAAGGGGAAATCGTACACCGACACACAAACACACGCACACACACACACACACACACACACACACACACACACACACCTATGCCGCAGGTGACTGTGCATCACACAGAACATCTATTGCCATGGGGAAGGGTAAAATTACCCAGGGACAGGATCAAATGAGTAAGGTCCTCATGAACTGTACTCTGAGGTAAGACAGAGAAACAGCTAGAAAAATGCATCAAGCTAAAAGATGGGAGTGATTCAAGATGGAGGAAGCTGTCAACTATGTGGACTATTGCTGAAATAGCAAGTGTCTCTCAAAAGCATCTGCTGGATTGGTAACATGGAAGCCACAGACTGAGCCAGAACAATTCTGGAATGGACAGAAACCAGCTTGGATTGGACTGAACAGGCAACAAAGGTGGGCAGGTAGCGTCAATGTCTCGTCAACACTGACTCTCAAGGAGGAAGAGAGACAGGCAGGAGTGAGCTACGACCTCCGCAAGTTTCACCCAGGCCAAGGGTCTCCCAGCCTTGGGCTGACCACAACTCCCTTGCAGCTCTAGAAGATGACGCACATGGGCTCAGAGAGAGTGGGGAGGGCCTTTAGCTATTGCCCGTCCTCCCTCTGACCTCGGCTTCACCTCGTTCATCCTTGACACATGAACCCCATTCTTTGTTCAAACCTCACTCAGGAAACCTCTTGGGTGGCATACTCTAGCATCCAAAACTGTTCCATCACAAAGGTTTTATGTCTCTGTTGAAAAGCCCCTGCATGCCCCAGAGGTATGAAGAAAGTAGGAAGAGCCTCTGCACACTGGTTCAGAAGACCTGACCTCAACCTTCTCCTTTCCAGGTTGTACTGTCCTAGGCCTTTCCCAACAGACCCTGGCCTGCCTTCGGACCTCACCTCCCACTGGCTCTCCTACTTGAAAGCTCCACTCCGGCCTACTTATGCTCTCTTAAGACACCTTATATTTTCCTGCCCCCATATATTTGCTGTTCTTCCCTCTTAGAATGAGTACCCCTCCTTGTCTAGCTGAATCTTATCCATTGCTCACATCCAGCTCCAGTCCTTCTGCCTCTAGAAAACCCTGCCTGGCTTCCCACCCCTCTTTCCAGATTTCTCCTATACTGCTTGGGAGCAAAGGCTTGTTCTGCCTGTGTCCCTCCCTCCTACACTGAGGAACTATGAAGCTGCCTGCTTGGTCCTTTGCTTTCTTTGCTGGTGCCCAGACCTGAGAGGCGCTTGATAAATATTCTATTGATGGGATGACTGACGAAAAACCAGAGGCCCTTCATTCCCAAAAGATGAAGACTTGGATCAGGGCTGCATTAGCGGGGTTCACCAGGGCCAAAGGAGAAATAAAGAGAGGACATAAGTATTCGCCAGCCTGGGTTCTATGCAATCATGTGAGGATGTTCCAAGTCACTTGAGTTCAAGTTCAAATTAAGCTCCAGCCATCATGATCATCAACTATTTCAAATGCTCCTTCAGAAACCTACTCCTTCTTGGAAATGTTGAAACTCTAAACCACAAAAGCTCATGTTTTCTTTTAAGCCTGTCACTAGAAGTTTCTTGCCATTTTAAATTGTGGATTTCCTCTGGCAGTCCCTTTTAAAATGTTGAAAAGGCAGCTTTCTAACCTACACCCTCTGGTCATATCATGCTTCATGTAACAAGAGCATTGCAGACGGGTAAAAATTCAGCCTGTGGTGTTTTTTACTCAAGATACTGGCTAAAGTGGGTAATAACCAACAGACCGTGAAGACTTCCATGCAATATGAGGTCCCATTAAAAAGTTTGTCCTGGCTAAGTTTTCAGGGCATACACATTTTGTGGAGATGGGTTCAATCCAATTTGGGCTCCAAAGTATGCTTAAACATAGCAATTATTGTAACCATGAAAACAGGTGGACTCTGGACCCAGATCTCCAATAATATGCTTCATGGTATCTTGGGCACTGTTTTGCTTCCCTGTTCCCTGCATCAGTATGAACACTGAGAATCTTAACATACTGATAGTAGCAGTTGAAAAGCAAAGCTCTTTTCCAAGCCCCAGAGGCAAGAATTCAGCAAGGAAAGGTCAGGGAATAAGTGCCCCCAGACCCAACACCAGTTCATCCCCATTGAAGCTGGTTCCACTGTGGACACAATGTCCCCCAGATTCAAGGAAGTTCGACTACTATGTCTGTTTATATCTCAACTCGGCTTTTCCTGAGGTGGGATATATTTTCTTTTACAGAAAGAAATTATTTATTTGTTTGCTTTTGATTTACGGATTCACAAGAGATACAAAGCAACAGAGAGGCCTCGCTATGTAGTCTGGGGAAAAGTGAGGCTGTTTCTGCTCAGTCCCTCCCGGCCTCCTCTGCATCCGCCCCAGACTGCAATTACTTCCCCGGTCCCCGCCCACCCGGGCAAGGTGCACACCGCCATCAGGGCCAGCACAAAAGGGAAGGCCTTTGCCTGGTCTGGGGCTTGCTCTGACTTCGCTGGAAATAATGGGTTTCTAAAAGAACAGCTTTAAGAGACCCATGTATTCAGATATAATCATCCTTTGGAGGGTGTGTCTGTTTTTAAATGGCATGATTCACCCAAAGTAATATGTCCCCCATTTCTTAGATCCAGCTGTCTTCCAGCAAGATAAGAACACAGTGAACAGAGGCATATAGGAAGAAACTAGGCTCTCGCACATCTTCACTAGGAATGAGCTTTCTCCAGCCCTGAGCTTTTATGCTTAAAGAGAAAAGTTCAAACTCTTTGAGGGGAAGGCAGGGAGAACAAAACAACCTGTCAAAATCTCTTTTAGCACCCATGACTAGTGTTAACTTACATGCTCTCTGAGTGCAGTAAAAAGCCTGCAAGCTGCCATTAAAAAAAGATCGTTTGGCCTTTCAAAATAGAAACTCCCTTGTCCCATATATTCAATGGATGAACCTTGGGAGCTCCAGAGTCCCCGGTTAATAAATGAAATAAGGCTGGATTTCCAGAAAAGGGTTTCTCTAGAGGCCGCAGGCTAATTAGGGTGCTCCAGACCAGCACCGTAGCACAGGTAGAATGCAGGCCCCAAACCTTTTAGCCACTGTGGTCGCCAACCGCTCAGAGTCGGCTTCTGCAAGGAGGCTGGCGGGGAGTTAAGAAAAGTTAGTAACTAAAAAGTCCCGACGCGACAGCCCGCAGCCTACGGCTCTGGGGCAGGCTGCGGGCTCCGGGTGGCGGCCGCGGAGTCGCAACGGTCCTGGGTCTCCCGGCAGCCGCCCAGCCCGGCGCGCACCGAGCAGCGCTGCTGAAAGAAGTTGGAGAGCTCCCAGCTCGCCGACTGGATTCGCCGGTGGGCGCTGGGGAATCCCTCCCGGCGCTGTCATTACTAAAGTTCTGGAGCAAGTAAGGACCCTGGACGGCCAGGAGACGTGTACTTGCCCGAAGCACAAGGAAAACCCCGCGCCGCGCCAGCCCCAGACTGCTCGCACAAGGTGCCTTCCCGCTCCCCACCGCCGCACAACTCGTCCAGAGGGCGCCGGGCCAGAGAGGCGGCTCCGCCGGGCTTGCGGCGGCTCCGAATGGAAACGCCTGCAGCCTTCCCGGCCTGGGGCACAAGGGCTCGAATTCAACAGCGGAGGGAACAAGGGCAGAAACCAGCCAAGTCCCTCTCCGACGCCCGGGACCTTCTCCTCCAAGCCCTCTCGGGCTTTTCCAAAGGACGCGTGGCACAGCCGGTGCGCCCCCGGCGCTCCACTCCACTCCTCTCTCCACAGGTCCCCCCAAACTCTTCCCGGGGAGCCCCATCAAGCCCAGACGGCGCCCCGAAACTCCCAGGGCACTCGCCAGCCACCCCCACGCCCGTCTCTCGAACCCTCCTTGCCGCGTTCTCGCCGGCCCGCGCCGTCCTCCTCGCGTTCACGGGGAGTCAGAAGCAAACCACGAGAAAATGCCTTCGCGAGGAGCCTCCCTACACCCGCCCTGTCACTGAAACAAAAGCGCAGGGAGGAGGGAGGTGGAAGAGGAGGCGGGAGGAAGGTTTAGAAAGAGGATGGGGAGAGCGCTAAGAAGGAGCTGAGGAGGAGGGTCGGGGTGGGGAGGAGAGACGGGGCCAGGGACCCCGCTCCGGCTCCGCGCCGCCGGTCGCTTACATGCCCAGGTCGCTGTAGGTGTTGAAGAACTCCATCTGGTTGCACGCCTGGATCCAGCCCACCACCCAGGTCTCGTGGCGGGGGATGGGGGGCATGACCACGCGGGCCGAGGCTTTGAAGTAGGGGGTCTTGTAGCGCAGGACGATGGGCGAGGTCTCCTCGATGCGCGTGGGGCACTGGTCGATGGTGGCGCACACATCGTACACCACGATGTTCTCGCGCCGGATCCGCGCCTTGCAGGTGATGCTTTGGATACAGCCCATCCTGCCGCCCGGCGCCGGCGCGGCGCGGCGTGGGGCAGCGCGGGGGCCCGCGCGGGCAGCCGGGGGCGCCCGTCACGCCGGCATGGCGACGCGCCGCCCGCTCCCGGGCCGGCTCAGCTAGCGCCTGGGAGCGGGGAGCCGCCGCCGGGCATCCTCCCGGGAAGCCCCCTCCTCCGGCCGCCGCGCGGGGTCCCCGCCGCCCCGACGCCCGCCCGCCGGCCCCCGCCCACGCCCGCCCCCTCTTTCTCCGGCAGGGCGCGCGGAGCGTGCGCTCCTAGGAGGCGGCGGGCGCCCCCGCCGAGGGCAGAGGGGGGAGCAGCGCGGCG